CATACTTCTTTAGACAAATTGCTTAATACGGATGAGGTTATTAAAATGACGATAAAATTGATACTACATATTTTATATTGATAGAATCATCAAAAAATTTATTATTTGCCATATTGTTATATAAAAGATTAAACATCTTTCTATGATAATTTCTCTTTTCTTGCTCGCAGATTTATATTTTTGATACAAAATTGCAATGTTGTATGTGTATGTTTCAAAAACTTTATTATTAATTTTATTATTATCAAAGAAATTTATGATATATGCACACACATTATTATTTTATAATATAATCTAGTTCTTTCATACTTTTTTCTATACATAAATATAAATATTGAACAGGAAAATGCAAACATATAGATACATATTAATATGATTAACATAATATTATAATATTATGGCGGAAAACAAATAATATAATTCTGCGTTGACATCAATTCGACTAGATACTAAATCATTACGTCACGTTCTCTCTCTCTCTCTCTCTCTCTCTCTCACTCACCCACTCTCTCCCTCTCTTTCTCTCTCTCTCTCTTTCTCTCTCTTTTTCTGGATAAAGTTTTCTGTAACATATTGATATTATTTCCGAAGTATTAAAGTTACCATATGGCATGAGTTTGAGGATATTGCCGATTAAACGACTCAATATAAACGCGATGCGTTTCCACATGTAATAAGCTTTTAATTTATATTAAAAATTGCTTCTTTTAAATATAGTGGACAACGTATTGATTTAAACTTATGGAACAAAAGCAAAATTAAAATTTTTGGGAGACTTTAATAAACTATAATATATTTTAGAAAAAAGCGTATAATATACTAATTAATTTATAAAAATATATGCACACATAAACCAATTCAATAGCAATATAATCGAATTATAATATTCTAGAATGTAGAGAAATGTCAATTTTTAAAAAGTGCATTATCAATATCGTAAAACATATTGAGATCTGTCCATGTTAACAATGACCACCGTAAGCCAATAAATGTTTTGTTTATGTTAACAGTACTTACTTGCTACTCGACTCTTTTTTCTGTAATTATTTCAGAAAATATAAGAAAAACACATATCAATAACATGCAAAATCTTGAAAGATTAATCTAAAATTAATTATAAATTTTCTAAATTATAGACAAATACAACTTTGTCTATTAGAAATATATTTCGCATCGATAAATTCTATCGCTAACAGTTAATATCTACAAGTCTAAATAAGTTGAGGCCATTCAATTATTACTCAAGAAAGATTTTGGCGTTATGTTCGCGTCGAGTTTTCACCGTTTCAGAAACAACACTCGGTTGTCGAACGGTTCGCCAAACATTTACGCGTGGTATATTTACGACTTGCAATATTACGACGGATAATTAGCACGTGTTAACGTCAGCCGTATTTTCAAAAAAAGAAGCATTTATTGACAGTTTCGAACGTTTCACGTAACAATGTCTAAACAAATAGCGTTCTGTCCATTTGTCCCTTCCCATGCTACGACCTCAACTCATTGACGAACGAAACCCACCGGGCTCGGCCGTTTATTTGTGCTATTATATACAGAAAAAGATCCATGCACTGTTATCACACGCAACTAAATATTGCAAATATAAAATTTCTAGCTGCTAACAAATTTAACAGCTTGGAAAAGGAGTCTGCTCTTGCGTGAGTCTAACCTGAGTTGAACGTCCGGTGAATGGCGTTCGGTGTGGTGGTGGCAGGGACAGGGGCACTTTCTGGAATGGGAGGACAGAAAAGATATCGAGTTAATCGATTTCGTCGAGATCTATTGTTTCGGGGCTGGGAATTGAACTAACGTCGAAAGCACTAGCGATATATATGGACCGCGTATATCTGCGAAGTTTCGAACAGAAAAAAACGTTGTCAACGAAATCATTTATTGCATTCTGTTTTCTTTTTTTTATTATGCATTTTTCTGCACGTGAGTCGATATTATAGAGCTTTGGCGATTTCTAATTTAATGTTTTGAAGATTTTTATCTTAATATAATGGAATTTAATTCATAATTTTAATAAATAATTATAATTTTAATTAATCCTGTTTAAGATCTTTTAGAGTTTTAATAGTAATTATGTTAATAAAATTAGATTGATTGACGAGCCAGTATCTGTTTACACTCACAAATATCGTATATATAGATATGTATTTACGTATTGAATGACGAAATCGATACGGTGCGCTGGTAATCAAAGTGACTGCGATGTTCTGCGAGTACTCGATTAGAGAAGAAGATGCAACAAAACTAATCGATACTTTAGGATATTTTTCACGTAACAGACATGCAAGCGAAAGCATTGATCACTTTGGTCATGCTGGTGCGTAATCGAATATCCAGCAGTGTCTTTCCTGATCAATCAGGTGATGGACACTTACGAAAGCGTTCAGGTATTCCTTCATCTATCGTAAATTACGCAAAATATTTACAGCGGCATAAAATCATTACGGAATCTAATTTAACCCTTTCATAGTTTTTTGCTTGATTTAACTGGAACAAATATTGTAAAATTTCACGTGGGAATTAAAATATTTTAGTATACTGCAATAATCAATTAGTTTCAAATATGTATTCGAAATTATAAAGTATATATCATATAATGTAATATAATATATATGCACGTCTTTTTTTGTATAACTAAAACATTAAAATACATATTAAAACCTACATTTAGAATATATTAACACACATTTTTAATATAATTAATTATTTTCTTTTTTATAAAAAGAGAGAGAGAAAGTGTATATGTGTATCATTTTTTCTGTCATAAAACTTATTTGGAAATTCGTATATATTCGCACTTCTTTCTTTAATTAAACGATCCATGAAAGGGTTATCCAATAGATTTCTAGAAACTTTACGACCTTGATTTTACCTTCAACTTTTAACATGAAGGCTAAGTTCATTTTGGGCTCGGTGTTAACCTGGCATTCGTAAACCCCGGCGTCTCGCGGTTGGACGTAATTGATCTTCAGCGTCCATTCGTCGGATGCTTCAGGGTGCTTAACGGAAAATCTTGCGTCTCCTGTGTAAGCATGGATCGATGACGTCAGAATATGCAAATCCCTCTTACGTATCCAGGAGACCTGCAACCAAAGTGAATGCCCGATTAGACTCTATCCGTCCGAAATCCGGCCATCGATTTGCCAATCCGAATAATTGATACGATTATCTAAATGTTGCATATCTGTTTTCCTAAAGGAATATTATTCGTATCACAGAACTACAAAATATATACGATTGCAATAAATTATATTTATACATTAAAACCGGTAAAGAGCTTCGAAGTATTCAAGAAAAGTTGCCCAGAATATTATTAACTCTTATTTATAAGTCCGATAAAAAGTAAATTCAAAAAATGCATAAATGAATGTTAATCCTTCGTCAACTAATTATTAATTAAATAAGTAATTAATTAATTTAAGTCATATATTGATTTATTTATCAATGACGTATGGTTTCGGCAACGAAGAGTTAAGCTCTGCTGACCTAAATAGTAATTTACGTTATTGAGCCAATTTCTATCCCAACTGAAATATTTGTTGAAAGATAAAATAGAGAAAAAAATAAACGCGTTAATATACAATATTATTTATTTGCATTCCTATAAAAGTTATGCGATCTAAAGTTTTGTTGCCTCAAGCTTTCGCTGCCATTCAATTTTAAATCGAAATATTGTGCTCTACTAGATATTTCTAGAACATATGTTTTCACAGATCAAAATACAGCAATTGTACAAGAGCAATCGGATCCGATCGACCTTAATTCATCAAATAATAGCAATCAACCGATAGCGTAATTAATCGACTCCGGGTTAATCTGTATCCAACTATCCATTTATTTGATCAATTATGTCAGTCGTCATTAACCCCGAATACTGCCGCCTCATTTGCTTTAAAAAGCAATGTTCGCTTTCGGTCGTTTCAACTGTCATTCTCTATTGTTGGCGGAAATATTTCGAATTCAACAATAACTTCCGTGGCCGCGTAAGCGTGTAATGCGTCGACGATCAGTTCGGCCGGCCATTGTTACAATGCTTCCTGCCCAAACACGCGTAATGTGTAACGTTTTGTCCACGTTAAAGTTAAATATTGTCACTTCGTGTTGCATATAAATAATACGTTTTATCGATGTCGTCATCAATTGTTGATCGAATAAGCACGTTGTTGCGATGATAAATGAATTATCGCTTTGACATACATCAAAATTTGTAATCCAAAAACGTCGCACCTTGGCACATATATATTATATTTGTTTGGCATTACAAACAAGATATCGCATTATCGTAGTATAAACCTTCCTCTGTTAAATGCGATATGCAATAACGATTTTAATATTAATAACATGGCTATGTCAAAAGATACGTGCATGCAAATCTTCTGTGCATTTTATATATCCTGGTAAAAACTCTACATTATTTTATTGGAATTATTCTAATATTACAATGAAGGTCTCTAATAAAAATGTGTAAATAAGATTTAATCATAATTCAATAACTATTTTTCATGTTATAAGATATTTTGATTTTTAGATTTGCGATAAAAGTAGTATAATATATAACATTCAATTTTTTTTTAAATTTCGCGATTTAACAATATCTTATTTATTTTTGTATTTAGAGACTATTTTTTTATCATTAAAATTGATAAAAATTGGGTTCCTTTCAAAATTGAGTCACATGTACCATTTTGTACATTAAGTTTGGCCAGAAGCCATAAACTTATCTTGCATCAAAAGTCTGATTTTTTCTAAACTTTTCACCTATCTATTTGTCTCAATTTTTCTTATTCTCAATGTCTTCTTGCGCGATTTGTCTTTCTTTGATATTTTCTTTTTCTCGTATCAAATAGAATAGGATGATTACATAGATTGCAGGACTGTTTCAATTTTCATTTTCTTCAATCGCAAATTGCACAATGTTTCTCTTAAAGAGGTGCTCTATATAAATTCGATATAGAACAAGAAACTCACCTACTCGAGGGAAATCTCTCTAGGTGATCGCGGCAAAGCGTTCTCTCGAATTGCTCGAGTTTCTCGAATGCCTCGAGCCGATACGACATCAGTATCATTTAATCGATGACAATGGCGCACGTATAACGACCAGATTGGAAAAACGCATTATATCTCCCCCGCGCCCACCAGGGTAGCGTACGAGATGGCCGTTAAAGGTTGTCTCCGAGCCACCCCAACAATTATAGAAGTACGTGCCTCCGATGGGCACACCTACAAGGCATCGTCGGCGTCCCTTCCGACTCGCTATCGGACCTGGTACTTCTAACCCTAGCAACGGGGGGATCGTTAAACGTATGTTCTTCCCGGGAAGAGGACGCTCTCGCCCCTTTCATTAATTATTCGCCACCACATCCTTCTGGTAACCACCTCGGATCTAAAATGACATGATCCCTCCGTATGGAAGGGAGATGCTGGGTAGACGAAGTTCTGGATATTAAGCGGCTGATAACGATTGATGTTCTAATCCGGAACGTTATACGTTAATCGAACTTAAACCGTTTTTTTTTTCTATTGTCATTGAAACGCTCTTAAAATTTTTCACTTGCTTTTTAATATAAAATAGAAATTCCTCCTTTTTATCGTTTATGCATCTCTCTTCTTCATCCGTGGTTATCGTTTCGCGCCTTTTATATCTATACTGCACCTCCGCTGGAGAAAATTAAATATCCTTTAGCTTTTACGTTTTGCCCCCTGGGTCAGAAACCTTCATAATTTAGCCACGACAATTTTATAGTTCCGAACTCTTAACTAACCACTGAGATTACGAGAACAGGAATGTTACGTGCTCGACGCGTTATCATGTCATTTTATTACAGCGATAGTAAGATAAATAAATGGGTTATATTTGATGCATTGCTCGCGTTGCTTGCGATTGTAGTGTTGCTTGTAATGATGTCTAAGTGTGCAAAATACTTATTCCTCTTAACGACAATTTTTGGATAAATCTAATTTAAGAATAATAATATTAATTAATAATTCTTAATAAATCTAATTCTTTTTAAATGGTTTTGGAGATATTAGTATGTATATATTTTATTAATTTTATGTGTAAATTGATCAAAACTTAGTTATATTATTCTATAAATACAACCTTGAAGCAAGCATCTTGTTTCTTTAAGCGTTTTCTCATTAAAATTAAACTAAGATTGGATCAAAATCTTCGCGCGACACATCTCTAGAAACAATCAACGCAATATATAGGGGGATAACTAAATTTGTTCCATAATTTACAAGTACAAGAAATACGCTCTTTCTGCTAGCAACGAGAAATTACAAGGCAACAAAGGATAATACTCGCAATGTGGCGCCAGAAATCAACGCGTCTCTGACGTACGAATAGTGAAAGGGATGAAACGAAAAGGCAGAATCCTTCTCTCGTGCTCTTCTCTTGGCTTTTTGCTCGTCTCATCTTGCATCCTGCAGAAATATCCGATGAGAGAGAAAGAGAGAGAGTGTGTGTATATGTGTGTGCAGCAGGTTTACGACGAACCGGATGGTACATAAAACATTTCTAAGCACAATTTGCCAGGCGGTAACCGGCGTAAGCGAGCTTTCAATGCCTTTGGCCTTTTGCCGCCTGTACGAAGATTTGCCATTTTCTGCTTAGGTCAACCCGAAAGCAGCTTGGAAACGCGCCTCTTTGTGCGGTTATATGACGGTGCGCACCGTTCAGCTATCTCCATTTTCTTTTAATTCGTGACCGGCGAACGGATAGAATAAATTGTAAACGCATACAAGTAGTAAGGGCGCATGGAATCAGGTGAAAGTCACATTGCGATTTAACGCAAGCGTGGAGAGTAAAAATAATTGTTGTTTGCTGAAAACGAGACATTCAAGATATGGAAAGTGATTGCAATTTATAAATAACGTTTATTATGCAAAATAGTTACAAATGAACTCTCGTATTTGTGACTTTTTTCCTTTTTATTTTATCTCCTTTAATGTAAATGCTGACGTTTTCACGCTGTAAAAATTCTATCAATGCAAGCGCAAGTTTTCTTAGCCATTCACTGTAATCTGATGATATAAAAGGTTTTCTGCGTAGATATATGCCGCGCGACAATTTCAATGTGAGTGTGTCGTACGAACAGCAGATAAATTCTATTTACGTCTCGAGTCTCGATATACAAGTAGTCGCACTTTTGCACAAGTCAGTCGACATGTTGTGCCACAGCTCGGGTTCTCGTTCTTTTTCTAGTTTTTTCGAGTTTTCGTGGGATCTCGGGACGCAGTCAGGCATGTCGATCAATTTAGCCAAGACAGCTTGTATCCGGTCGGTTTTGTCTCAAGCGTAAACTAACAGACAATATCGACTGACGCGAGTGAAATAAAAGAGGGAAAAATAAAAATTTAGAAAAAGCTGCTTGAGAGCTCTGACACGATCCATTTACTCGTCAATTTTTAATAGCAGTGCTGACACTTTCGTTGTATCAAAAGGTTTTGTACATGTCAATTGATATAACATCGAGAAAATTATGCAGAGATAAATCTCACAATTTACTTAAGCTTAAATGACATATATATAAATAAATATCAAATATATAATCTTTTAAATATATATATCGTAGCATTTAATTTTTTATAGTATAAAAAATTATATATCATCTTATCACAACACAACACGTTATATCTAAATATACACAATAAAGGTATACACAAAAATACATCAATATAAAAGAGACAGAGAAAAAAAAATATTATTGTGTTTTAATTTATTTAAAAATTTATATAAAAGATTAACAAATACAAAATATTACATTATAATATAGATTATAGGTCATCGTTTCTAATATCGTATCTCTTTGTTCCTCAAATAAAAATTGCAAACGTGTATCAATCGCATGTAAATGTATCGAGAGGCGCTAGAACACATTAGCGAAATCCATCCGACCAAAACTGCAAAGCCGCATTGATCACCATTATGACGCACTCGCAAAATTGTCAGACAGTCCGCACCGCGCGAATCATTTCACACGCGTAGCAACATCGGCGAGAGAGAAGCACGTAGCACGATTATTTTATCGCGTGATAGTCGGTACGGTGAGCGATAGAAATTGGAGGTACCAATTAGCAA